ATTGGAGAGGTTTGAAGTAGGGACTAGGATATCCAATCCAAGCTATTTATTCAATATAAATATCCAGGGTTTGTGCTGGATTGGAGAGGTTTGAAGTAGGGTCTAGGATATCCAATCAAAACCTTGATGATGTAAAAACCTCTCTCCTTCACGTCTCCACTCTACAATCTATTACAAGGTGAACATTAATCAGAGCTGGAAACTTTTGAATGGTGGATATCAGGATTAATGCTTGATCCACTCTTTTCTTAATCTCGTGATTAAATATTGCTTGTTCTCTTCTTGTTATTAATCTCCAGATTAATTAACCGGTCGGGATTAAGGATATCCCATTCTAAAGTTTTTAGCTCAGGGCATTTTTCATCTTTTTGAAAATACTTAAAATATTTTTGTCATCGTATTTTTGAGTGATTTTAAACGGTGCGTGCAAAAAAAAATATCAGAAATTGTCCCAAACAAAAACGGTCGGAACTCAAGAGTATTTGAAAATTACTTGACAAGTCCTGGAAACAAAAATAAATATCAAATAACTTTATTTCTCTGTACAAATGTTTTTTTGATTGCAGCATAAAACTGAACATTGGGTTCAAAGTTCTAAAATCTAACGACGACCTTTCGAAATTCATTTTGAACTTGGAAACTTCGAAAATCAGGTAATATGTTAGACAATAATCCTGATAATTGATAATATATCATGAAATGATTTTTATTTCCACAGAGAATAGAATATATATATTAGAGGGGAATTTAAAGAATTTCTCGGTATGAATTTTTTCAGTCCCTTTCAGCCTGAAAGGGAGTTCAAAGGTGTACAAATCATGTAAATGTTCACAAATTATATGCAGTAGAGTACATTCATACAGTATGTTCCCTAGACTATTCATTTCAATTTCGAATTTTTAAACTGTAAAATAAACTTTATAATGAATTAGGTGAATAAAAACATCATTTGATTTTTAGTTATAACGGAAAATCATCGTTTGTAAAGTAGAAGGCATAGAGTCTATGTGAAATGATCATTGGTCAATTAAGAAACCAGCCTATTTCATAATTTGGTTTTCTTTTACCAATAATTTTAGATTTTCTATAAAATGATATTCCAGGGCCCAAAAGGTTATATAGCATAAATATGTGAAGTACACCTGCAGTATAGTAACAGTACAACAAAATGGCCATTTTACACTTTTTTCTAGTAAATTCCCCTCTAATATATATTCTATTCTCTATGGTTATTTCTATTTATTATCATGAAGCTGTCAAGAATTATAAACTTTTGGAAATTAAGTGCTGAACCTTTCTTAACCGAATTAAAAATAATTCTACTCCCATAACTGCTGCAAAGATTGCTCTTCCGGAAAAATTCCATTTACTTCTTAAATACTAATACTAAAAACAGTTCTAAAGTGTTTATGTCTAGAGCTATAACAAATTATAAACAAGTTAGTGAGGCACTACGACACTTCAAAGTCTACCAGCCTTGAAAATTGATGTATGTATTGTGTACAGGGAAATAAGGTGTCCACAGATGACCAGTTTTTGAAAATAGATGCTCGCGATGCTTTTCCCTTTGCGACGTGTATACCGTGATCACTAATCTAAATTTTTAGCTCAATATCTCTAAAACTCTAGGATATAATCGCTACTAAAGTTTAAAGAGCCCTTTAACATATATTCATAAATTTCTTTGTTCATTGGGTGTACCGTCTTTTTTTGCCTTATATTGTCAGTATATGTACTGTACGAAGTAATGTACATAAAATGAACCGGAGTTTTCAGTGCTATAAAAACTGACCGAATTAATATAAACTCTAAAAATTTCTTTCTGAAAAATGAGCATTTTTGACTAATTTGTTTTTAATATTTTTTTCAAATATTCCAACGGATCTGAGTTACCTGATTAAAAAATGAAGAAATTGATATTTCACATGAAAAATTCAAGTAGTTCTTTTTTACTTTCTTTAGCAGCTTTTAAAACTTTGAATTATCTAATAGATCTAGAATATTCAGGAATTACTCACAGTATGGGAAAAGTTACCGCGCTCATTTTTTAAAAATTACTAATCATTTGAGAACACCTTAATGTGTCAGTGTCCGAATTAAATAAATCTAAGCCGCGTCTCAAATCCACCAAAAACCATATTTGAGCTGCGGCTTAAATTATGCCGCGGCTCAAATTCTTTAAATGATTGGATAAGTGTATATTTTTGTAATGGCTAAAACATACTATTAATATTTCTCATGATTATACGATAAAAACCAATATTTGAATATTTAAGAGAGCTAATGATACCGTATGTATCCCTGGACAAGAGATCAATAGGTAGGAACAGTTTTCAAAATACTATTTTAGAGCTTTTAAATTGGATCAGTTAAACTAAAGGGATTAATTTTAGATGCCTTATTGAAGCTGAAATCATTGAAGATTTTGAGTTTGGACAATTCGGAGGTACTTTTTACATATTTTATACTTTACTTTACTTTACTAGACATTATTATGCATTATACTAATATTTACATGAGTACTTTACATTTTATAGATTAGTACTGTATCTGCATGAAGATGAGTACTGTACATGCAGATGAGAACTTCACAATTGTAGATACTAGTGTACATGAAGATGAGTACTGCACATGTAGATGAGAACTGTACATGCTGTAGATGAGTACCATACATGTTGTAGATGAGTACTGAACATGTTGTAGATGAGTATTGAACATGTTGTAGATAAGTACTGTACATGTATATTAGTACTGTACATGTTTTATATGAGTACTGTACATGTTGTATATGAGTACTGTACATGTTTTATATGAGTACTGTATATGTTGTAAATGAGTACTGTACATTTTGTAGATGAGTACTGTACATGTTGTAGATGAGTACTGTACATATAGATGAGTACTGCCCATGTTGTATATGAGTACTGTATATTTTGAAGATGAGTACTGTACATGTTGTAGATGAGCACTGTACATGTTGTAGATTAGTACTGTACATGTTGCAGATGAGTACTGTACATGTTGTAGATGAGTACTGTACATGTTGCAGATGAGTACTTTACATGTTGTAAATGAGTACTGTACATGTTGAGGATGAGTACTGTAAGTGTAGTGTACATGTTGTAGATAAGGACTTTAAATGTTGTAGATGAGTACTGTACATGTTGTACAACTGTTGACAGGACTGCCTGACCTACTAAGCTTATCAGCTGTTTGGGGTAGAACCAACAGGAATTTAAGATCTAACAATTTAAACAAAACATTGTATGATGTAATCAATGCTCAGGTCGGAACTTTCGAATTGACAATCCTTCCAGGCCCATACATTTTACATAAAGGGGATCATTCATTTGGTGGGCTGTCCCGGTTACCCTTTCATAGTCTGTAATTGTACTGTATAGCTTGCTCTTGCTCTAGCTGGTTAAAAGTCGGACTGGTGCTTGACATGAACATGAGTTTACAGTGCTGGAAGCTCTTGATTGTAGCTCTACAGCTACAGGTTAAGTTAGATTCCTCTGGATATCTTTGTAAGTCAATCGAATGTCCCAAAAATACAACTCAGGCTTATTTGAGCAGTTAATCGCTAATAGTTATCAAAGTGAATATCGAGTTTAAGTGCACTTTGATTATTGCTATTTCACATAATTTCTAGAAATCTAGAAATCTAAATTATTTAAAATTCTGAATTTAATGGATTTTGCCAAATCTTAAAATAAAATTGAACAGAGTTCTCCCAGCCATCAGTTCTTTAACAGAATCCAACAAATTAAATCTCAAACATCTCTTTCTCAGGTATATATATATATATATTAAAGAGACTGTCTTCCTAATTTCATGTGATCCTCCATTTATAATTCAATTCCAATTCATATGTCACGTCAATGATGTGGCTTAAAGGAAGTGACCGGCAATGTATGGTGGTTGAACTGAACAAGTAGTATTATGGACATATATTTTTAGTATTTATTTGAGACATATAAAACGTTCCTACGACGTATATTTACAGAGTTTAATCGCAAAGTCGACGTTCAAAATCATGAATTTGGGTGAGTACGTTTTCAGAATCGGTTTTTGGAATTATTAAATAACGACGACAAAAAATGTAAAGAAAAATCTACAGAAAAATAATTAGTGTTTAGGAACATGTTGAGAAAATAAAAATGAACTCTTATCATCGAAAATAAGTAATCTGTAATTTTATTGAAAAGACGACATTTGAAGAATTTGTAGAAATCTGCGAACAAATTCATAGAAAAAAAGAAGATCAAAATAATAATGAAACGGAGATAGAATTTAAAGAATTTGAGCCGCGGTTTAAATCTGCCAAAATCCGGTTTAAATTAAGCGCCGGCTTAAATCTTGAAACAATTGATACAATTTTAAGTGGAACCAACCATATTTAAGCTGCGGTTTAAACTTAAAACGCCGCTCAAATTCTTTAAATTCGGCCAACAATTGATTCTAAAATTTATTAATTGACAAATTTCTTCTGAGAAATATGTTCCTGAACATCTAATTAGTTTTCTGTAGAATGTTTACAATATTTTTCGTTGCATTATTTAATAATTTTTAAAAACCCGGTTCTGAAAACGTACCCACCCAAATTCATGATTTTGAATGAATGTCGACTTTGCACTCAAACTTAGTAACTATACTTCGTGGAAACGTTTTATATGTCTCAAATGAGTCCTAAAAATGTTATCCACAACACTGCATACTCAGTTCAACCACCTTACATTGCCTGTCACTCCCTTTAACAAGTGTTTAATTCTGATAACTTCTCTATTGTTTCTGAACCACAAATAAAAAACAAGTTTTTAAAAGCAAAAAAATGGATATCAAATCATGCTTGTTCAGACAAAACTTTTATTGTATTAAAAGAGGGATACTCATGCTTGGAATTTGGTTTACAGTCTCTGAAACTCTGAACTTTAGACAACTCTAAAAGTTATTTATCAAATGTTTAGAGAGCCTCGACTTAAAAGTGTCGCAAAGCCTTGACATTTAGTTTTACTGCACTAACTTAAAAATACTTTTTGTAGCTCTAGGTATATACATTTTAAGAGTGCAGGGGGCTTGTTTCTAGCTTAAGTGTTACAGGAGTTATTGGCAAAATACTGCTTGATTTTGGCATGAGAACGTGTACATCTTGGTTTGCCGTGAAAACTATTCTAAATTAATGATTCACGGTAACGTTGATATAGTTCTATATAGTTTTATAGTTCTATATAGTTTTATAGTTCTATATAGTTTTATAGTTCTATATAGTTTTATAGTTCTATATAGTTTTATCTAAATAGTTTTATAGTTCTATATAGTTTTATCTATATAGTTTTATAGTTCTATATAGTTTTATAGTTCTATATAGTTTTATAGTTCTATATAGTTTTATAGTTCTATATAGTTTTATAGTTCTATATGCCCGATTTACAACGCTAACGGTATCCTTTAAACCCTTGTAAGAGCAAACTATGATGTAAATATCTGATTTAATAATTTACTATTTTCTACAATTAAGTATACTTGTGAATATGTTCAGCAGAAACAATGCAGATTATTGACACAAAATACAGGCTTACCCACACAGAAGGGGAGGCTATACAGACGACCTGACATAGAAAAATGTCTTTTAATGAATTATTTAATAATTTGATAAAGAAATAACAAGTTTACAAACATTTTGTACACAAAGAAACAGAGTTTCTATAAATATGTATCAGTTGTCTCGTTAAGTTTCATCCTTTTTGGGTAAATTTCGGAAGCCTCCAATGATAATATTATATGAAGTATGCACTTTAGGGAGCCTCCAAGGATCCGAATGACCAGCCTCCAAAACCAGCTCCAAAATCTGACAAATATAAAGATGGTTTGGAATATACTGGAGGTAAAGCTAGCAACCTAATATTGCTCACTAAAGATGATAACGTTGATAACGAAAACTCTAAATTTAACAATTTGAAGTCTTCTGTCTACAAAGAAGTCTATTAAGGGCGTCCTAAATGAATTTGAAAAAAAACAAGACACAAGTGTAAAGCGGCAAGAAACCATGAATAACTAAAAAAAAATTTAAATAATATTTTGCTTACAATTTTTTTTCACGGCTGGCGCTGGATTTTGGAACATTCCTTGAAAATGTGAAAATGTCGTCTTTATTATAAAAAATCCTCGAAACAGCAATAAATGTTACTCTCGGATCTAAAAAATAAAAAATATTATAAAACATCAACTGTATTTGTACTAATGCGTCGAAAAAAATCGATGATTATAAGTTGTAATATCTGAATGATTTGTTTGATATTAAATTTTTTTTTACGATCCTATTCGAATATTGCAACTTTCTGAATTTGTATGGACGCTATGTTCTTCGGTATAAGTCGTTTTTAACAATTTTCTTCTTATAGACGCAACAGATAGAAGTAAGATTAGTAGCAATCACCATCGAATATTTTTCGACGTAGGCCGATACCCCCTTTAATTTTTAGCGAACAAATTTTCTAAATTACTTTTTAATTTGAATATACACTTCAATATAGCAAACTGCAGGACACTGCAAATTAAACAGAAGGAAAGGTCAAATATCTGGTACGGCTTTGTGGCCTTGTATCTCCTCTAGTTTTTAGTACAGTGGTAGGCGATTTTATTAATACAGTGAAGACGACTTTCAATTTTAATTTTGACTTATATGAAGACGATAAACCGCATGGAAACACATTAACATAGAAGTCAACAGAAGCTCTCAATTAGAAAAGCTTCTCTTTGTTAACTTGTAAAATTTTAATTAGAAAAAAAGCTTGTTAAAAATCAAAACTTAAGTGAAGATGTCGTCTTCATTGTTTTGATATTATCGCTTGCCACTGGTTCACCGCCAGGTTATATATCAGAAATTTCCATCTGACGTTCATTTGTATAGTCAATGGTTCTAATTAGATACTGAGAGCAGGTTTTAAGAAACTTAAATAAAACGTTGTAGATTTTGTTAATTTGTTTTTAAACCCCTCTTCCTTTAATTTTTAGATTATTTCCTTCAGATTATCGGGATGAATCTATTATATCTGATTCAGCTGTCCATCAAAATCCAGGAGACATTAAACAAACTGACCAGGTAAAAAAGGTGTAAAAATTGTAATCCTCAAGGTACTGTTATTGTTAATATAAGTGAACCTCCACTTTAAGAAGATCATAATCGATTCACAACGGTACCCTTTAAACCTTTATCTGATTAATATTAAGGAAGATAAGGTTGTTCTTCTAACAATTGAAGAATATTTGAAATTCAATAGCAAGTATGCTGCATGGATATCTCTTCATTTGACATAGATATTCTTCATTTGACAAAGAAATCGGACATGCCACTCTGTAAAAATTATAGAGCAACTTGAAATAAAGTTAACAGTCCCTTTAAAAGAAGCTGCAATGAATGAAAGTATTTATGAAGAGATGAATGAATGTGCATCAATCTTTTGTACGTCCTCAACAATGCGTCCTCCTCAATGCGTCCTCTTAAATGTGTCCTCCTCAATGCGTCCCCCTCATGACGCGTCCTCCTCAATGCGTCCTTCTAAATGCGTCCTCCTCAATGCGTCCTCCTTTATGAGCGTCCTCTCTGTGAGTTATCATTATGAGTGCAACAAAGTGTGTTCTCAAGAGTGCGTCCTCAATTTGGCCTCATTATGTGTACATCATAATCAGTACATTGAAGTACGTATCCTTCGTTCAGTTTTGTTACATAGAATGTTGATAATGTTGCCAGCTAATAAGAGGAACCCTTTTAATTGTAATAAAGATTATCGACCTAGAGTCAGCATTTGAATATGTTTAGTCTTGAATTGCTTGAATGTGAATTTCTTCATCCTGCAACATTAGGTAGCTATATAAAGATAATCTTCACATTTCTTCTTCTTCTTCTTATCATTATTATTATTATTATTATTATTGTTATTATTATTATTATTATTATTATTATTATTATTATTATTATTATTATTATTATTATTATTAATATTATTATTATTATTATTATTATTATTATTATTATTATTATTATTATTATTATTATTATTATTATCAATATTATTGTTACCCTGTGGCCCGTCAGCCCAATTTGAAACATTTATCCATTATAAATTCAGATGTAATAGGTAATACAAATAAAAATAAAAATCTGCAGCAGGTAATACAAAAACTAAAATATCTACAAAAAAAAGGTCAGCTAGACAATCTATTTCTTCCTTAAGAATCTAAAAATATGCCAGTTCGAAACTTTATCCAACTTTTACTAACATAACATCTAATATGTGAAAGAGGAAAAAAGGTTCTTTGAATTATTAGATTGCTAGAATTAATTGAACTAGGTAGACAGGTAGCTGAACTAATTTATCCCTTAAGATAGAAATTTAAATCAAATTATTTAAGGCGATGAAATGTTTTTTGAGGTTCCAGAACTGGCCAGTTCTCCTTTTTCCGCGCTGCAAACTCTTCACGTAGAAGGTTGAAAAGTTAATTTTAAAGGGACTGTGAACGCAATTTTAAGCGACCCTCCATGCAAAGAGGTCTATGTCCGATTTACAAGGGTACCCTTAAAACGTTTGAGTGTTCGTTAAGTACAGAAATAGGGTGTGCAAACTTATCGAAACCTACTTGTTTTGTGTTCAGCTGCGTGCAGTCTGCGCTGTGTGTGTGCAGTCTGAACTCAACCCAGCGCACACATATCTCTGTACTTGCCGAGCACACAAAGGTTTCAAGTGTACCGTACTGGAATTCCGCTTTCAGTCCCTTTATAAAACAAATGTTTTTCCTTTAAAAAAATAAATTTTACTTTTATCAATCTTTCTGTTTGTTGGTGTTTCGATACTACGTTTAAAAATAGATATGAAATCTTGAAATAAATATTTTTGTTGTAACTGTTGTTTTAAAATAAAATATTTAACTTCAGTTTGTGTTCTCAAATTGTTATTATTTCAGGAAATATTACAAGTCCGTTAGTTCTATACTTGACTGAGAAATCCAAGTTACTTGAAACCGTTCACATAAAATCTACAAATTCTAAATTAGGAAATTATCATAAATAATCATTTTTGTAGAGTGAAAAACATAGAACTGTGGAAAAGGAAGACGACGTTTTGTCATTTTATGTGTATCCTTTGATATTAAAAATTTTACCAGTAGGTTGAAAATTAACTTATTAAGTGTTATGGTTCTATGTACAATGTAAATTGTACATTACATCATTACTGTGTTTCATGTATTTAAAATTAAATAACTCGAGTTTAACAGTCTTATGGGACTTACCGTATTTAATCTCTTTATTTTTTAATCTGTGTGTTTTTACTTGATTTCGGAATAATGATCGAGAAAAAGATAGTTAAACTATTCCTAGCTATAACAAAAATGGACTTTTTACAATTTTAAAACAAAATTTCTTTTTTAATATTTCTATTTGAAATTATTTGGTATATGATCATTTAAAAAAAGTCTATCAAAATTATTTTGTCATCATATTTGTCTCCTTCATTTTATTTTCTTCTTTTGTTGAATGTCCCTTCCAGCATCAATTTGGAATAACAGTTTTTTTTTTCAAAACTTATAGAATGGCCGGGATATTGAAAGTACGGGTCAGAACTTTTTGGAACATTTCTGTACATATTTAAAGACGAATCGAAATTTTTCAATTTCAAGTGACCCTCCATGCAATAATGACATATCCGATTTAAGTACGACTTATATACAATTGTTTTTGATTTTAAAAGCTGATTATTTTCACTTGTCGGTTCTCCAGAATTGACTTGCACGTTTGTACTGAAGGAAAACATATTGTAATATACAGTAATTAAACACTTTTAATCCTAGAACACTACATAATCTTTCACATGATTGATCAGATAAAGGTTTCAAGGACTGGTACCGTTGTGAATCGGGCATGGCGATCTTAACATGTAGCAAGAGGGTCACTTGAAATTTTGCCTTCAGTCCCGTTATTTGTAAGGATCCATATAATATGATTATCTAGACGGATATATGTTTAACCATTTCTACGTCTATCCGAAATCCTTTCTAAAATCTTTCCAGGTGAAAAACGGCTGAATTTTAAATTTTTGCCTCATTGCAGATACAGTTATACATTTAAATTTACATTTACATTTATATTGCAGATATAGTTTTACATTTACATTTACATTTACATTTATATTGCAGTTATAGTTTTACATTTACATTTACACTTACATTGCAGATATAGTTTTACATTTACAACACAAAATACCCCAGCTTTTTTACAAATTAAACTGAGAGGAATAAAGACTTTAACAAAACCGGATATAGCCTATTTTAATAAAATCTCAAAAGTAAAGCATGCTAAAAAGTTTTATATTGGATTTAAAAATTAGATCCAACCCGTAGAAGTGTTAACAGATCTTATTGGAGTTTAGAGTGTTAGTGCAGAAAGTGCAAAGTTTTAGTAAACAAAGTTTTAACCCTATTCCCGCTGGGGGGGGGTGAAGGATGGTAAGTAAGAAAGGGTAGAAGGGGAGTATGGAAGAGTGGGGAGTAGAAGGGGGGAGTAAGGAAGGATGGTAAGTAAGAAAGGGTAGAATGGAAGGGGAGTATNTGGATTTTGCGATAAAAAATTCAATTTTCGCAAATTTGCAAATTTTTTGCAGATTCTAAAAGTAGAGCACAAGAGCTTTCTAATGATGTATCATTTGTCATATTTGGACATAAAACATGGGATTTAGAGGGGGGGTCAAATTGACCCCCCCCCCAGCGTATCTTGGTTTTCAAGTACCCCAGCGGGGATAGGGTTAATACTTAATCTTTTTTAGGTTGAGTTCATATCTCATAAACAAGATGATATTATCAAAACCCTGGAACAGATAGCTTTACAATCTCCTAGCTTAGTAGCTATAGGTAATCCAATGTAGCAATAAATAAAAGTAGTAATCCAATTAAATTACTTATCTTGTAGTCTTGATATTTCCAAAATGTGGTCTGTCATTTTTGTGCCTTCAAATTGAAGGAGATATAAAAATATTATTTTTTTTTTGAATTTCTTGCAAAGAATAAAATGTCGGCTAATATCTATACAAAGAAGTCAGTCTTGATTTTCAAAAGTTGTAAAGACCTACGACTTTCATAAAAATATTTTTTTTTTTTTAATTATAAATTCAAATAAAATGACGATCTTAAAGTTGTCTCTACAGAAATTAGAATCTGAATGAACAACTATATAACTAAAGTTTAACTTATAAGTAAATATCAATGATATGTTTTGTGTCTAGGATGCCTGCAAGGTCTAGGAAATGTTTCAGAAGAGCAGAAAATCAAACTGAAATGTTTTATAAAAAATAATAATATGAATATTGATGTACAATAATAAACTTATCTAATTATTTCGAATAATATGAAAAAGAAGTATTTTTAAAGGGACTGTAGACGGAACTGCGAGAGGCTCTTTATTTAAAAATTTGCTTGTCCGATTCACATTTACATGAGAAATATGTCGTCCTTTTCTATTGTTGAATTGTGTTTTACTGTATATCCTCAAATCATTTTTACGCAGAAACAACAATGAAGTTGAGTTTTAGGGAAGAAAAACATCGTTAATTAAATTAGACAAAGGTTTAAAGGGAATTATTGTGATAAATGGAGAATGACTACAATCACGTCTGTAGTCCCTTTAAAAATAATTAGTGCCCAGGTTGGTTTTCAGCATCCCTCCGATAAAAAGAAATCCCTCTAGTGAATTTGCCTCCAGTTGATCGGAGGAAATGACAAATGCTTCTTATTTCCTCCAGAACTCAACACTTTTTCCTTTCTGATTGAAATCAAAGAGTTTAATATAAATATGATTGCAGTAGCATGTTGCACGTTTTGTGTAATTTTCCTTAAATTACTTAAACTTTTAAACGACATGATAAAATGCTGGTGAATGACACTGTGTAGTGATAATGTCCAACGACCTATACCTCCTACAGTTCCCTCCTAGTAACTCATTTCATAATTTGGAAACTAAGCAAGGAAATTATTGGTCTTTTTCAATATTAAACATGATTAAAATAAACAAGAAAAGGGCATGGAGGGAAAAGTTTAACAAAGGACAAAGGAATTATAGGAAATAAACAGGAGAAGTTGAATGTACCATTATAGTCATTATAGATATTGGAGGAAGAGACAAATTTTATCTCTGTTTATTTACCAAACTCATAATCCCTTCAGAACTTTAAAAAGACCGATTTTTTTTAAATTTAGTTTTTATCAAAACAAAATATTTCCTCAGATAAAAAAATCTACAACGGAGAAACGATTGGAAAGTGACATTGAAGTATTCCAAAATAACTCCTAGGTTAACCATAGATAAAGATAGATTTGCATACGACGACATTTTTCATCTTGAGAGATATAAATTTACAGAGATGTTTTAAAGATATTCCTATTATATAGATTAACTAGGTCGGTTGTGAACATTGGCTGTTCTTATGTCATTGAGTACTTGTGGTGTACATGAGTTCAGTAGAGAGAAATTTAAGTTAGTTTAGTCCTTCTTCAGTTCTCGTCAATATAATTATATTGCTCCGTGAATTATTGTTGTTCAAATGGTTCCATTCCCGGAGTTATTTTACACTCTATTAAAACACCAAACCACCCCGCTTATCATTGAAGTACAGTTTGACCCCTAGAAGTATGAGTTCTCGGACTGTTCAATTCTTGGTGATTTTGTGTACATAAGCTATCTATGTTTATTTATTTATCTATGAGGTTAACTAACTTAGGGCCAAACAATCAAAACAATCTAGGCGGGTCCAAACTGCATAGTACTTGTCTTTCTCATTTGTGATATCCCATGCTTTGAAGTTGAATAAAAATATGAATATGAATAATGTTTATGTGGTCTATGGTTTATTTTGTTCTATGGTTTTGAGGCGATTACGTAATCTATCTAAATACACTTAGCAAAAATCTATGAATTTTCGAACAAAGTTTTATTTTTTATTAAATTCTTTTACTGATAGAATGACCTCACGGTTAGTTAGATGTCCCCTGTTGTTGTTCAGAATAAAAGGCTTTACTTTTTAGTTTTTTCATGATTTTTTTGTTTCAAGTCGAACCTTGGCTGAGTTTACTTTAATATAGCCAGAGAGGGGAACTCATGTGTTTTTTATATCTATCCATCTTTTGTTAATCTGCAGATTATTTTAATCTTAACATTTTATATCCGCAGTGTACCTTGAGCTGAAAACTTTAGAATGGTGGATATCAAGATCATTGCTTGATCTCCTCTTTTTATTAATCTCCAGATTAAATATGGCTTGTTCTCCTCTTGTTATCAATCTCCAGATTAATTAACAGATCGGGATTAAGGATATCCCATTCTAAAGTTTTCAGCTCTGAAGGGATATTGGAAATGAAGATATTAAACATTGATTCTCATGATAGATCAAGCTATCGGGATTATAAGTTTCCAGTTCCAGACATACTGAAATCAAATATTTCCAGTTCAGGACATACTGAAATCAAATTAGTTTCGCGTTTCCGAAGACATTTGACTTTTCTCCAACGGTCGACCTTGATTTAAGTTAGATACTGAATATCAGGAAGCACAGGCATGCTCCTTATTAAAATATTAAAATAAAAAGTTTTAAAAATTAAAATTTGCATCTTATGCAAATTTGTTGCATCATGATTTCTAACATGAAGTACGTCTATATTTAAACATGAACAAAATTAAATAACTGCTAGCCACTAAAAACATCAAACAAAACCATTTTTTGGATCTCGGTGGATTTAAAAAAACTTTTTGTTAAAGAGAACCACAGTTGAAAATAAAACTTAAAGGGACTGTTAAGGAAAAATGAAAGGTGGTATAGGCTGAAACCTAAGAATATATGTCTAGAGAAATTAATATAAAACTGTGTCAAAATTAAACCAAAACTTATGTATATAAATATATATATATATATAAGATTTGGTTATAAGATTCTATATTTTCAACATATCAGAATCAGCAAATACGCAATTAATCTGAAAACGACGATATCTCAGAGAATTAAACCATTTTTCATTTTTAATAGATAAATTGATACGCCAGTATCACGTGACCAGAACTCCCAGAGACACGTGACAAATGATACTACACTGCCATTGGTGGGAGTTTATAGTGACGTGAGACGGACGTATCAATTATTTTATTAATTTAATAATGAAAAATTATTAAACTCAAATAATGATAGGAGCAAACCTTGGGTTTTCAGGCTGCTCTGGGATATCGTTGTTTTCAGATTGGTTGCACATTTGCTGAATATGATCTGTTTAAAACTTAAATTATTATAGTAAATCGTTTTCTATTTTAATCAATTTATTATTAAATCATAACAGAGTATAGAATTCTCTATTTTGTAATATCAACAGAGTAGAGAATTCTCCTTTCATAATATCCATAGAGTAGAGAATTCTCTTTTCATATTATCTACAGCGTAGAGAATTCTCTTTTCATAATTTCCACAGAGTAGAGATTTCTCTTTTCATAATTTCCACAGAGTAGAGAATTCTCTTTTCATAATTTCCACAGAGTAGAGATTTCTCTTTTCATAATTTCCACAGAGTAGAGAATTCTCTTTTCATAATTTCCACAGAGTAGAGAATTCTCTTTTCATAATTTGCACAGAGTAGAGAATTCTCTTTTCATAATATCCAAAGCGTAGAGAATTCTCTTTTCATAATTTCCACAGAGTAGAGAATTCTCTTTTCATAATATCCACAGAGTAGAGAATTCTCTTTTCATAATTTCCACAGAGTAGAGAATTCTCTTTTCATAATTTCCACAGAGTAGAGAATTCTCTTTTCATAATTTCCACAGAGTAGAGAATTCTCTTTTCATAATATCCACAGAGTAGAGAATTCTCTTTTCATAATTTCCACAGAGTAGAGAATTCTCTTTTCATAATTTCCACAGAGTAGAGAATTCTCTTTTCATAATTTCCACAGAGTAGAGAATTCTCTTTTCATGTTATCTACAGCGTAGAGAATTCTCTTATTATAATATTCACAGCGTAGAGAATTCTCTTTTCATATTATTCACAGAGTAGAGAATTCTCTTTTCATAATATCCAAATAGTAGAGAATTCTCTTTTCATATTATCTACAGCGTAGAGAATTGTCTTATTATAATATTCACAGCGTAGAGAATTCTCTTTTCATATTATCCACAGCGTAGAGAATTCTTTTTTCATAATATTCACAGAGTAGAGAATTCTCTTTTCAAAATATCTCTACTCTATGCTAATATCTTACCACTAAAAGCATTTTGTAATAAAAATATTTTGGTAAAATTTTGAAAGGGAAAGATAGTGGAGATTTTAGAGTTTACATACACGCTGTTCTTGATTTTAAAATGTCTATGGTAAGTTTAATGTTAAGGTACTTTTTGTCTAAAGTGATTAGCGGATTTATTGCTACAGAAATACATGAAGAAATTTGTGAGAATTGTACATTTTCTAGGTAAAATATCTGCAACATTATTGATTATATGAAGGTTTTAAGTGCACCGTTATAAATCGGGCATTGCAATTACGACAATCATTTTAAAAATTGCTCAGCACCATTTTATTTCTATTAGATGTTTTCCTACAGAGTATATGAATATATGTTTAAACCCAAATAAGAAAGATATCGCTGTCTTTTGCATGTTCTCTGTTTTTAATGGTAAATTTTAAAATCATATTTTTGGTAATGTTACATTTTTAAACGTGTCCACTTATTAAAAACTTCCTTACAGAATGTGTAAAAAGAAGACAACAGAAAACCAAATATATTTTTAAAACTAACATTGTTTTCTTGTGTACACACAAACATTTGGCTTCTCTTGATTAAATAAGATAAAAAGAAATGAAATAATGTGTGAAACTAGATAAACAATTAACTAGATAGATGCACTTGTGCAATCTACTAAATAAGCTTGATAAGAGATATATAGTGGGTCGCCTGTTACTTCCTAATTCTCACACAGTGCGCATCTTGGTCCCGTTCCCAGAATCATCAATCTAAACTTTGAAAAAAATTGATTTTTGAACTTTTTCAACCTAGTGAAATGATCATAACAAAATCCACAAAACTATAGATAAACAGAAATCCTCCAAACCATTCGAAACTATTATAATCACCATGATGGTCATTGATCCTCTCCACTCGACCTGTCAAGATAAAAGCCCTGTCACCAATGTAAAACCTGGACTAGATGTAAACCAAGTTTAAAAATGAGAATAATCAAGGAAGTATTGTTTATATCTATCAAAATGTGGATCCAAGTTGTGTCTAGATTCCTAAAATTTGTGTTAGGACCTGCTGATAAACATTCAAACTTACAAAAGGTAAAGATTAAAATAGTGACATCGCCCTTTTTCAGAATAAATTATAATCTTTTAACCATTTTTTCTGAAATATTATCGGCGCCTCCGATTACTTTGACATATCGTGAACTATGCCAGAATTTCAAGTAGAAAGTAATTGAGTATTTGCCACAAACTCCGATGTCCTAAAATCCCTATATCTTTGCAACACAATACTGTAAACCTTAGAAATTTTAAAATATGAATTCTGTTAGATCAAATAATTTAAGTTTGAAACTTTACACTTTTATATTATGCTTAAAGATTAGAACATTTGAATTTGTCGCAAAGAATCGATCATTGGCTGAATGAGATTTTGAAAATCTCAAATAACATTCTTTCTCTCAAATGCTTTAGAAATTCCTCTAATTTGCTAACATCTATCTAATAAAGCTCTTAGCTCATATACAGGGATACCCGGCCACAAAGGATGATACTGCAAAGACAACAGAAAACGCTTAAAAAATTATGGTTCCAAATTCAATTAAGTTTTATGCCTAAAATATAGTATTTTAATGGCCTATTTAACGATTTGGCCATAAAGAAGCTTTTTTACAGTTGCAGGGAATCATGAATATAAAGATACAGATAGTATTCATCGTCTCTGAAGTCTCATCCTTTGTGGGTAACCCTGTAGATATATATAATCTTAGCTATAGCTGGCCAAAGAGCTTGACCAAATTGTAAATATAATCATAAGAATAGCTTAATGATTTCACCATAGCTCAAGAACCCTTTTTCATAAATTTTTGAGATAATTTAAAAAAAAACGCTTCCACTGTAAAAGCAGATTTTTTGTATTTACATTTATTTTGAAATACAATTTTTGTATTGCTTTTTTCAATTCAAACAGAAACGCTTATAACAAAATCTAATTTTCTAATCCCTTTTCCATAAATCTAATTTTCTAATCCCTTTTTCCATAAATCTAATTTTCTAATCCCTATTTCCATAAATCTCTGCGACTTCAATTAAGACCTTTGATATTTCAAACTATTAACTCTGCTAATTCAAAAACGGAAAGCTTCAAACATCCAAGGTTTACAAAACCAGGTTGCAAAGATATAAGAAAATTAGAGTTAGCAGCTACTCATCAGTTTCTTCATATCTATTTCAGTTGAATTTTCATCACTTTTATAATCTCCTCCGAAATTGTTAAAAATAAGAAAAATATAAAAAAATTGATTTAATAAATTAGATGTACTTTACTAATTCCTTTTAAAATAAAATGTTATTTTAACAAAGTTGTCATTTAAACAAGTTGAAATATTTACAAGTTTTTAACAATATTACATTTTTATCGATAGTAATTAACAGTTTTATTTCTCAACTGAGCTGCAGTAGTATCCCACTGTTTTCTTATCCAATTAAGTACTTCTGCTTGTACAGTCATATCATCATGTACCGTCTTTATCTGTACATGTGTAGGATTGGAGGATTTATAGGTAGAATGTTTCTTCCATCCTTGCAAACCCTTGGAACTTTTAGAGTTAAGTTTTCGGGAAATATTGCTATCCCGTCCTCGTGAAATGCTGAAGCTTCTGCTATCCCCACCTTGTGGAGGGTTTCTCCTGAAAGAATTTGAGGTTACGTAAACGGTTAGTGAGCAGGCTTTGTTTAATTCCGTAGATCTTGTCCAAGATACTTGTCTAGTATCCAGGACAGGAGATACTTGTCTAGTATCCAGGACAGGAGATATATCGTCCTCGATACTTGAAGCTGATCCACGTCTTGAACAAAATTGATGACGTGCCGCATGATCAACAGGAATGGGTTCTCTGGTTACTCCAACTGTTATAGTTTCTCTTTGTCTTACTTTCATGTCTACGGGAACTCTCCGTTCTACTATTATTTCTCCCACTCTGGGTTCTCTCCGTCCTGCTTCTATCGCTACAGATTTTCTTTGTCCTGCTCCCATTTCTCCGGGTTCTCTCCGTCCTAATCCCATGCGTCCGGGTTCTCTCCGTCCCAACACTTCCATATCTCCTGGTTCTCTCCGTCCTTCTCCCATCTCTCCGGCTCCGAATTCTCTCCGTTCGGCTCCTATCGCTTCAAGATTTCTTCGTCCTACTCCTATCTCTCCGCGTTCTCTCCGTCCTATTTCCATTTCTCCAGGTTTTTTCCGTCCTACTTCCATCCCTCTTCTTGAATATGCTGGGGAAGGTTTGGACAAATCATATTCTTGAATATTAGAAGTTTGGTTTCTAAATCTAGGAGGAAGGATTTGATGTTTTCCTCGAGTCATGATCTACAGTGTGATCCAATAAACGTGGGAATTGTGTCAATCGTAACATTTTTTTTTACTTTTACATTAATTTGTAACATGATTTAAGGCGGCCATTCAGGTAACAACAAAACCATTAACGATTCAAAAAAGCATTCCCGCTTTAACTTTTACTTATTACTTGGTCGCCAATGCTTAAAAAATTACAAAGGAATTGAGTCTTTGTTAAAAACGAAAATGTTCTAATCCTTATATTTTTTTTCAACCTGTTGCTGTAAACTTTTGAAATTTCAAACTTTGATTATTTGATCTAACATAGTTTACAGTTTAAAGGTCTTCGACGTTGAGTTGTAAAGAAATCAGAGTTTGTGGAAAAGACTCAATTCCTTCTATCATTATATATCCACCATAGTTTCAAAGATAAAAAACCTTGTCAATCATGAATAAAACTTTTGAATTTGAAAATCACTTTAAATTTCAATCAAAATTAAATATTTTCAGATTTATTAGACCATGGTTTGAATAGCTCAGAAATTTCTTATTTAAAGGGTGTGTAGACATATCAATAAGAGACTCTCTAGATATAGATAATTATGTTAATTTCACAACGGTACCCTTTAGACCTTGTTTGAGTCATCTTTGTTTTTCCAACTGAAAATTGATTATCTTAAATTGTGGTTCAAAATAAATAAAGTAAAGTTAAATAAAGTTCATTTAGAATTACGTCTACAATACCTATAAAGAGACAAATATAACTTTAAACACTTATTTCCCATGTTTATTGGAACTCCCTTGTTAAGCTGTAGTATATGGTAGAGTGTAGTGTAATAACTGATATCTCAGCTGAGTGTAAGTGATGAACTGAACTATAAAAGCATGACAGTTTGTCTGAATGCAATGTAAGTTACACAGATCCCATTGAAACCCAATCTACAAATACTAACTTAACCCTGTATAGTTGGGCCGTGGGAGGAGGTTTGGAATCCATCCCCCCTTCATAGTATCTTATTCTTCGTAACAGAAAGCTGAAATTTTACACAATTGTTGTAATCTCTTTTTGTCTGTCTGTTTGTTTGTCAGATCATAACTCAGGAACCCCTACACCAATTTGCCTCAAATTTTGATCTGGGAACTCGGGAGTAGAGTGGGTCGACTTTAATGGCGAAAATTTAATTTACCGGTAAAATCTGTCAAGTGCGGGTAAACCGCGGAAGTTACTTTTCGTAACCTTGGCAGCGCTGGGTTGTTCCCAAGCTAATATTAGTAGTAAAGTAGTGATATTTATTGTCTGTCTGATTTGTTTGAGTGTCCGATCATTTCTGACTCATGAACCCCTTGACCGATTTGCCTTTAATTTTGATAGGGGAACTCCGGAAATTGAGCAGGTCGAATTTAAAAGCTGGGTTTTCTTCATAATTTTCTAGTTTTTGACATTTTGGATTGCTTCACAATAGCAAAGCGCAAAAAAGTTGTAATGTAACAGTGGGCGAGTTTTGTTGATCTTTTACGATCAGCAATTCAAGGATTTTTTGGATCGCTGAGATCATAGCTACCAAGGGGAATCAAAGATTAAAACTTATTTCAAACTAAACTTTTTGTATATCCTATTATATTTAAAAAATAAAAATTATGTTATTATTTCACTTTTCAAATGATCAAATGTAAGTTTTGCAGTAAATAAAGAATCGGTGTTAAAAAATCTAAATTTAGCAAAAACTTCTGAAAATTGAAGGTTTTGTATTTTATCAAGGTTTAAAATATTTGTTGCAAATTATTTTGCACAGGAATACCCTACATAATAAAACCTTGCAATCAATTAACAGATAAAGCATCATAGCAAATTTAGAACAAAAAAATGTATTCTTTCAATGATAAAACAGCTTATACAGAATTCGTTATCAATCATGTTATTTTATCATTTTTTCATATTTATATAAAGTCAATTATACATGTTATGGTTCGTTTGTTTGTATTTTTGATCATAAGTCATAACTCAGAAACCCCATAAAAGTTTTGCTTCAAATTTTGATTGGAGAACACGGAAATGTTTTTAGCTTTGTTTACAGATTCTAAGTTGAGGGGGTTGACGTACAACTTTACATAGCTTAGAATTCCGGCAAAGCTGGGTTCCCAAGCTTATTATTAATTATTTACAACTACCTTACAGGGAAGTTAAGAAAATTTTACTTTACCAAGGGCGTAAAAGAACAAAACATCCTAAAACCATCGAGGGGTGTTTTGTTATTGGTGTAATTGGTTGAGTACAAATTTTAAATTGAGTGAAGTCCATACAAAGAAATTGAGTCTTTGCCACAAACTCAAATTTTATAATCCCTATATCTTGTAAACCTGATGGTGTAAACACTTGGTATTTCATACTTTGATTATTTGATCTAACAGAATTCATAGTTTGAAATATTTAAGGTCTACGACATTGAGTTGAAAAGATTTTGGAAGTCAGAGTTTGAGGCAAAGACTCAATTCCTTTAAATAAAATACTCTCGGTAATAATGTATTCTCTCGTTCTAATATTATTGGGAAATCCTTTAATATGGAAAAAGACTTGATTTTAACTTTATTCAACAAACTTCCGCAATTTCACACGATAATTGCGAAAGATTATAATGTTCCGCTTGCGGTCATTAAAAATTATTTTTGTTATTAATTTTCGCATCACAAATTTGCACAATTTGACAAGAAAATTAGTGCAAACAATGTTTGCAGGCTAAAAACAGGGGACACAAATTAAAAACTTATTATGAAGTATAAGTAGTCAGTAGCAGTAGTCTTTTTGATTTTAAATAAAGAAAAAATACCTAAAAGTAAGTAGCTTATAGAAGCTAGTTTTAGCTGGTAATTGGCAGGAATTAACGATATTTTCAAATCTTTGAAAAAAATAATTAAATAAAATAAAATTTTATTGATATTTTTCGTTCAGTTTGTGTCTCATGAGGATGCAGTTCTAGTTAAATATAAAAAATATTATAAGCAATATTATTTTGTGCTTTAATAATATTGCAGAATTGGACTTCATCCTGTTATTTAAACTACAGTTCAAAGTCTAATCATTATAACGTGTTATCCCATGCTTCAACTAAACATTAAAAAGAAATTGTTATAAAATATTAATTAAGGAGGGTGGCCTGCCACTTTAAATTGGGTCAAATTCACAAAGGAACTAGAATTACTTACCTCATACTGTCATTTTAGAATTTCTCTAGTTCCTCGGCGTTTAAGTCTATTTGCAGAAGTTTAGACATTTTCAATATCTACGATTGAAAAGATATAATTTGAAAAAATGTAATTTTTTAAATGAAAATTTTCAATTATTGTTTACATACAATGGCACTGAGCAATTTTTGTAAGAAAAATTTACACTTAACAATATTTGCCAAAATATAAACACTGAAAAAATCATCAAAACTGTTTGTTTTGGAAAATTAAAGATAATAAAATCAAATAAATAATTGAACAACAACTTGTTGAATTTCCTCAAATCATAAAAATATCAAAACTCAATGGAAAATCAAAAGAAAAAACTTGTAAGAGGGAAAATTGGTGAAAAATAAAAATTAAAAATTTAAGAATAGAAAAGTCTGAAAAAATCCTAAATCTGCATTGTTGTCGATATGTGTTTTCTATCATAAAATATTAATTCGCTTATTTTTCTTGTCTGTATAGCATGAATCTGAAAGTCTATTTATAATAAAGGTCATTCAAAGCTATGTGACAGTGTTTTACAGTATAACAGTCTGTTAGAGACCTATGTTGTTTAGGAATCCCCGACCCCTGAAAGAAAGATAAGAAGAAGATGCGGCACTCTGCGCATTAAAGCTAAATGTGGAGGTCAGCAACCTCAAGGAGGTTTGGAGGATCGAGGAGAGGAGATGGATAAGTTAGCGCCTCTACCAATCATACCTGGTATGCGGCGGATACGATCCCTACCCTTGGTTCCCTCTGCACCAGAGCAGAGGATCGATCTTCAAGATAATTCTTTTATGCTCAGGTCAGTAAGTCTTATTTTAAACTTTATCGACATTTATTTCATTTATTGTCCTAGCTTGGGGATTAAGTTTTTCTTCCAATCTTGGCCAGACTATTGGAGGCATTTTTTGAAAGTATTTGAAGCCTTTACTGACATTAATAATTATAGTTTCATCATGAAAATTACATTTTTGAAACCTTGTTTTAAAAAAATTGTAAAAAAGCAAGAATTTACAATACAAGTTTGATGGGTCTAAATGCAAACAGAAGAAGTAAAATTGTATTTAGTACACAATGTTGGTTAATTAAAGCAATCAATATTTTGTAACAGCAAACAAATGTGATCAATAATAAATGTAAAATTTACAGGGTAAAGCCTGTGAGAAGATCCTTCTCTTATCCATGTGATCCAAAGGTTCGGCAAAGAATCCGAGCAAAGCTGGTTGCAAGACAAGTATCTGCATGGTCCAGTCAGGTAGGAATATATGAATATACATCATCTCAGATAAATTATAACTACTAACTATTTTAAAGTACAAGGATGGGGAGAGTACTAAGGGTTTACCTTAAGGGGGGATTGCTTCGTGGTAAATTCTACTAGTAGCCCCCCCCCCCCATGTGCATTTGATAAGTTCAAAAGTCCTTGCACTTTGTGATAATTAAGATGAAGCAGGAAAAATTGCCTGTCAAAGTTTTGATCACTTATGCAGCAGTTTATTAACTATACAAACTATTACTGCAAGAGAAAGTAGAATTTAAAATGTACATTATTGGTTGTATTTTTGCAGTTGTTTAGAAATCAAAGAAATAGTAAACCTTTAGAAACAAAGAGTATAAGTTAATTGAAATATATAAATAATTTATGAAAGAAATAAAGTTTTGGTTTCAAGAATTCTCTCTAGGTTATTATTAAAATATATTTTTGCTTGGACCACTTAAAACAGACATAATAGATTTTGATAGTTTTTTTACATAAACGATTGTGACTAAATTTAGGATTTAAGCATTTTTTCTTCATCTATCTTGTTTAAACTATGAAAAGATTTTATCTTGAATTTTTGAATAGTCTTAATTTAGTTAAAACATAAAATTGATGAGAACTTAATTTCCAGGAACCTAAACATGCTGTGAGAAGTAAAAAAGAAGGTTTGTTTAACAAGCCTAATCTAAGCACTGATCAAACTAGTGTTGATGGATCCCCAAGGCATCACGTTGAGAACACGGAAGTAACAAGCGCCCCCTTGGGTCACCGCTCTCTCAACCTTTATCCCCAGCAACATATGATCTCATGCCTTACCGGCCCGGACACCAGGAGAACTGTAAGGTTCAGCAATCAGCTGTTTAACACAAATGATCTTGTTACCAAGTCCAGCACGAAATCAGCGCATGAAAAAGCAAAGACTTTGATTGACAAAAATGATGGGCTTATCAATTCCAAGAGTGAAAGATCAGTGAGAAGACAAAAATCAGACAGATTCGGGAATCGAACTAACAGTTTGAAATCATCCTTTTCAACATCAAAGGAGAAGAGACGAGACTATTTAAAACAACTTCAATATTTGTCTGATGGGACCAGTCGTGACTCTAGTCCTGACTTATAAACAAGTATTTATTCGTTATTGGTTAATTTCTACAAACTTTTAAAAAGTGTTCTGTGAAATTAAAACCTCAATGAAGGAATAAATTTACCATGATTGTTTAAGATTTAAGTTATGAAAAGTTGCAGAGTTAAACTCAATTGTCCTCCAATACATGGATCTCATTAAATTTTTATTTTTTATATGTTCATAATGATAGTCTGGTGTATTTTTTTATATTTGCACACTTTTCTCAATTTTTGTTTTCAGCTTTTTAAAGCTCACGGGCAGCCGTAGTACATTTTAATTTACGAGCCGGGTCAACCTTTCCGGTCCCAGTTTGTACTGTACCTAGCTCTATATACAGGACTAGCCAGTGCAAAAAGGTTGACGCGGTCAGACTTTATGCTTCATATAGGTTGAATTTATTTTACTAAAGGGGCCGAGGTGCGTGAGCTACATGTATCTACAGTTTCCAATTATTTTGGATAAATTTAGCTTGCAGGATAATCTTAATATTGTATTATAAAACAACAAATCCTAATTAACCTGAAATGGTAACAAAATGTTAAACTTTCTATACTCTCTCCGCCCCCCACCCCCCATACAAAAAAGCTTAAAATCTCCCAAAAAGGTGCATCAAAATATGGGGGGGGGGGATTTGTATAAGAAGGGCAAGGGCCGGTTGGAATGATAAAGATATATGTATACCCCTGACCATTATTCAAGGATTGTCCTGGAATTTAAATTTGTATCTCAAAACAAATAAAGAATGTAGCCTTTTGAACTTGTTCTATTGCTAAGCCAAGGTTTAAGCACGTGCACTACACATAGCTAATGATGTTTAATATTTCATCATCTTAAACAAGTTATAGTTTTCAATGCTCTTACGTTGTAATAATTAAAGTGTACTATAGTTTAACCACCTGGATCAAATAATACCAAAAGTCCCACACGGACATAAGAAGTAAAAAGCTAAATAAAAATCGTGATTTAATCTTTTTTATTAGTAATATTTCTAAAGATATTGTAATTTGAAATGACTTTGACTGATATATCTTTTAAAAATATGCAGATCACTTTTTCAGATTTACGACAATATTAAAAATCGTTGAAAAAATAAAAGCTTACAGTGCCACAAAGTAAAACATCTACAAAATGTTAAATTTTTTACTTGTCTATTGTTGTAATCTGGGTACATGTCATTACTTTATTCACTATTGTCAGATATAAAACCTTTTATGTATCTACATATATTTATATATATTTAATCTATTTATACAATTCATAAATTTAATATGTTAAAATGTTTAAATCACATGTTCAATAAAAATGTTGAGAATATTTTTTTTTCTTTTTCATCTGATTTTGTCTTTTAAGGATACAGGGTCTTCCATCCATCTAATAAATAGAGGTTCAGTTTAACACAGAACTTCAGAGAATTCAAAAGAAATTTTAAAATGTCGTCTTGACAAGTTTCGATAGGTTTTCTACTATTTTACCTAAATCTCAGTAATTGTAAAAATAAATTAATAGTCATGAAATCTGCGGAAACAGTTTAAAGAGCTTCGTATAAGTATTCAATAAAAAAATATCTGGGGTTGCATTATCAGTAGGTTTAGAAGACGACATTTCATAACTTCTTTTGAAGTTCTGGGTTAAACTGTAAACTATTTAAAAAGTCTTGTTTCATGCGTAAATGAGTTTAAAAGGTGGGTAAGTGGTGGGTAGGTCTTCTGTTTGCAGCGAAGAAACGTTTCACGAAATTTTCCATTTTTTCGCTAAAATGAATGAAGCAAAAGTTGCGAAATATTTTGTCCCAAAAACCATATATACTGAAGCTGTATTTTGTCTTTTTTGATGAATTTTCGCAAAATTTTGGATTTTTCTTTTAATTCAGATTTTTTTCGCGAATATTACGCATTTTTACGCTAAATGTTCGCATTTCTTATTTCGCGAAAAAAAAACAAAAAATTTCGCATTTTTCACGAGCGAATGAAATGCGAAAAAAATTAAAATAAATGGATTATTAAAACATTTGCCTACCCTATACTTAAAGGTAAAAGAAACTGTAATTTTAGTAGGGTAAGGGGGTAAATAGAACTTTTTAGCAAAGAGGGGGTGGGTAAATTTTTTTAAAAGTTTACAGCGAGGGGTAAAATTAATATATCCCCCCCCCCCCGCTCCTATTTAGACGCCCTTGAAGGCATCAGTTTTTAACTTGAGTTTTTTTTATACAAGTAAATAGGGGTTTACATTAGAGAAAGGCTTCATTAAAAAGTTTATTTGAAAACCAATTTTCAATACAATGAAGACAACTTTCAATTTTAATTTTTGATTTCTACTAAACTTTTAAACAGCATGAAAACACATTCACAATAATACATGGAAAAAAAGATAATCTGACAATTAACAGCTTTTCTTTGCTTACTTGTTATTTTCTAATTTGAAAAAATCTTGTTCTAAGTCAAAACCTAAATAGATAAGTCGTCTTTATTGTAGTGACTTAAACGCCGACCACTAAACTACCTTGATCTCCTCCCTCCCTTCTGTCAACCACACCATTCACACGGTTCTGCGTTTTCTCTAAAACAAAGAAGAAATTTTAAAGGTTTGTTTTATACAGGGTTGCCCGCAAAGGATGAGACTTCAGAAACGAAATATTCATTCCTTTATAAAAAGCTGGTTTTTTGGTATGCAACAATTTTCATTTAATCCCGCCCCTTTATGGTCGGCATATCCTTCCCGTGATTCAAGACAAATTTAACTAACTTGCGGATTTTTTTTTTGCCTTTTTAGATTTTTAAAGTATCTTTCAATGAAAATATCCCGGCGGGTTTCAATGATTTATTTTTAATTTCATGAAAAACGTCAAAACCAGCTCTTTAAAAAGGAATGTCATTTACTCTCAGACAAATTAGAATCAATGGAAATTTAAATCCCCTCGGGATTCAATGATAAATGATACATTGTCATTTCCTCTATGGTTTCCTACGCAAGGGGATCTAACCTGCGAGCAATTGTGAGCCCTGTAATTCCGCTCAATTAGAGAACAGTTGCGTACAACGGAATTTCAATTGGAATTTGGAAACCCTAGTTTTCTTATATTCATGATTTCCTGAAACTGTGAACTTGTTTGTCTCTTTGCAAAATTATTAAATTAGATTACTTTATCTAAAGCAGACGATTGAATTCAACCTATTTTCTGGTCGTATTTACAGTCTTATCTTTTGTGATTAGCCCTGTACATTTAGCAATCTGAGAATGAAGCTTAAAGAAGAAATACAAGAATATTTAATTGATGAAGTAATTTTTGTTATAACGAAAAATGACAGTGTTCCCCGTAAATCATACAGTACAGGGTGAACGTGGTAATTGATTAAAAAGCACAAGATCATCTTTGTTGATGATATATAAAGAATCGGTCTGTATATCTAGAGCTTGAATATAATATTTGCATTTAATATTAACAAGTGTGCAAACCTTAGCACTTCAAAGACGACATTAATGTTTTATTTCAGTATAATTTCTTTTCATTTCATCAGCATTTACAAGGTAATTTGTTTAATAAAAAGAATTGATTTGAGAATTAAATAATTTTTTTTTCTTTTTTTTCTGTATTGTTCCGGTCTAATTTCTTCTTTATAATCGCACCATGCATAAATTATACAAAAATAAAGCTTAGAGAAATTATCACTTAAAGTTTACCCCTGTTTATTTGGACACCCTGATTCTTACCTAGGACATAGACAGGATTTCCAGAAAACAAAGATTGTTGAATATCAAACTTTTCAGATTTATAATCCAGCTCCTTACTGTACAATTCAATTATTCAATCTCAAAATTATCACGTTTTAGCAAATTTCTTTAAACCTGCTACTCACGATTTATAATAAAATACCGATTATTATCATGACTAATTGAATGATAAATGATAAAAATATTTTTATCATAGATAAATAACAATACAGATGGAACGCTAGATGTCTTTTTTTCAAGATTTAAGGGTTTTTGTTCACAATAGTCTTGAGGCAGAGGCCCAAAGGAGATACAGGGTTACGCGCAAAGGATGAAACTTCAGAGACGATTGTACGGAATTTGTTTAGTCTATTTTCTAGCATTCAGAGTTCCCTGTACGCCATAATTGGCTTGTTTCTGTGCTTAATCAGTTAGTAAACCATCAAACAACTAAATTGAGTGAAAAACCCAAATATGAAGCTTAAAATCGTCATATTTTTAGAGTTTTGGGTCGTCTTTACAGTCTCATCATTTGTGGGTAACCCTGTACCTCGCATGCTCTTTTTTCTGTCTTGTCATCCAACGCGGCATGCGCGTAACTACTTTGGGCTTCTGCCTCAGGGTTATTGTGAACAAAAAAGCCTTAAATCTTGAAAAGACGACATCTAGTGTTCTATTAATTGTTTAATTGATAAATTGAATATTTCCTAATTGTATGATTCCAATGGATTAGTCTTGGCTCAGAAACAAGAAGAAGAATATCAGATTTATTTTTAGATATTACAGGACTCAGAACCTAAACATACGTATTACAGGATACAGAACCTTAACCGATATTACAGGATACAGAACCTAAACAGATATTACAGGACTCAGAACCTAAACAGATATTACAGGACTCAGAACCTAAACAGATATTACAGGACTCAGAACCTAAACAGATATTACAGGACTCAGAACCTAAACAGATATTACAGGACTCAGAACCTAAACAGATATTACAGGACTCAGAACCTAAACAGATATTACAGGACTCAGAACCTNATTCAATAACTTTATGTTCTGTCTACTTATCTACATGTCTACCTGTTTACCTGTCTACCTGTCTACCTGTCTATGTGTGTACCTGTCCACATTTCTACATTTATACCTGTCTACATGTCTGTCTATATTTCTACCTGTCTACCTATCTACCCGTCTACCTGTCTACCTGTATACCTGTCTACATGTTTTTATGTCTACCTGTCTGTCTACTATGATGGTAGGGGATGAGTATGATAAAGGTCGTTTTCCCTCCCCGAGTTGGTTTCCGGATCTCACTGTATCCTCCTCCTGCAAGATTAGAATCAAAGTGAATAAATAATAAAGTGGGCCAAACTTGTATTTATTTAAATTTATTGTGTCTCTTCCTTCACTTTAGTATATATTTACTTTGAACTAAAATACACTATATATATAAGGGACAGTAAATAAGCGCATATTGAGGTCGGAACTTCTTACTTTAAATTTAGTGGGCAAGGGCTTAATCCCTGAAGAATTAACACTTTGGAGATATCCCGAATTAAACTCATGGATCAGTGATCTCTTGAGGGATCAAATATACAAAAGTTCCTAACTCTGTAGAGAAAATCTGTTCAAGTTTAGCGAGTACGGTTCGTTGATAGTTAATTATTATTTGATAATTTCAGACAAATTTAAAAACGAAAAAAAACTGAATTAAAAGTTTTCTTACATTTGGAAGATCAAAACTAGCCATAGCGTTGTTCATCAGAATACCCTGAAAACAAAGAAAGTTTAGGCAAAAAGGCACCATTTACAGGGCAATTATTCAGTTATATATAACACTACAGTTGAAAATCCTTTTCTTAAAGATACTGAAAATTTAGATTAATGAGATTTTCCATTTTTAGAGGGAAATAGAGTGGAATAGAGTGGAATAGAGTGGAATAGAGTGGAATAGAGTAGAATAGAGTGGAATAGAGTGGAATAGAGTGGAATAGAGTGGAATAGAGAGGAATAGAGTGGAATAAAGTGAATAGAGTGGAATAGAGTGGAATAGAGTGGAATAGAGGGAAATAGAGTGGAAAAGAGTGAAGTAGAGTGGAATAGAGTGGAATAGAGTGGAATAGAATAGAATTGAGTGGAATAGAGTGGAATAAAGTGGAATAGAGTGGAATAGAGTGGAATAGAGTGAAATAGAGTGGAATAGAGTGGAATAGAGAGGAACAGAGTGGAATAGAAGGTAATAGAGTGAAATAAAGTGGAATAGAGGGGAATAGAGTGGAATAGAGTGGAATAGAGTGGAATAGAGTGGAATAGAGTGGATTAGAGTGGATTAGAGGGGATTAGAGTGGAATAGAGAGGAATGTAGTGGAATAGAGTGGAATAGTGTGGAATAGAGTGGATTAGAGTGGATTAGAGGGGATTAGAGGGGATTAGAGTGGAATAGAGAGGAATATAGTGGAATAGAGTGGAATAGTGTGGAATAGAGTGGATTAGAGTGGAATAGAGTGGAATAGAGGGGAATACAATGTTACCCTTTTTGAAAACTGATTATTTTCAATTGTGGCTTCTTTGCAAAACTAACTTGCGCAGTTCAACTGCAGAAGCAAGGAAAGATATTTATTAGGATTAAAAAATGTTCAAAGTAGAAAAATCCATTAACTCTTGTTTTTATTTTCAAAAATATATTTTACCTGAGAAAACACTTGGCTTCCAAATCTGGAGCCTAGAGATAAAACCAGGCTGACATAATTATTATTCTAAATTGAACCTTATTGTCCATGACAACAATACTGGTCCCTTCCTCCTCTCCATTCCCTGGAATTGTGAGATATTTTTCTTTTTGTTTTAAAGCAAATGTTCATTAAAATGTGGAAAACCCTGACAAATTATTCCATAAAATATTGTTAGAAACCCCCCCCCCCCTGCTTCTTAAACAGTATTACTAATAAAATAAGAACTATACAAAAATGGATTAGATTAGAAAGACGATATATTTTATATTTTGTGTGTATGTAACGTTGTTTTAAAGCGAATATTATTATTAAGTGAAACAGTTCTATGTATTGTATAACACTGCTCAATAATTTGACTATTTAATAATAACTTGAGTGTCTCCTATTCAATAACTTTATGTTCATTAGACTATTTAATAATAACTTGAGTCTTCCAATTCCATAATTTTATATGGTTCCCAAAGGAAAACCCCAGAAAATTATCCAAAATTTGAAGAAATATGTCCCTTTCATTTAAAAAAGATTTACCAGAATCTGTTGTTGAAATATATTCTGTTCTTCCTGACATCCAACTATAAGGTATTAAAAGATCATGAATGTAAATATAATTGTATACAAATCAAAACACTTCTTATTCTTCTTATTAAAGAAAGTTGATTTTACAAAAAAGTTTGTCACAAAATATATAGCAAGTTTTTTTTATGAATTTATAGTTATTTGTTTAAACTTTTTTAAATAAACGCAGAAAAATAAAAATTCTAGCATTTAAATTGTATAGAAATAAACATAATCAAATTATCTAACAGTTTTAATTTTCTTTCTAATATGTTTTTATAAATAAAAATTCTACATTCTTTAAAGGGAGTGACCGGCTATGTAAGGTAGTTGAACTGAGGACGCAGTGTTGTGGAAAACTTCTTTAGGATTCATTTGCGACATATTAAACTTTTTAAAGATCTGTAAATCCTGAGTTTGAGTGCAAATTCAACGTTCAAAACTCCTGATTTTGGGGTAGATACGCTTTCAGAATTAGTTTTTTTAAATTATTAATTAACGACGACATAAAATGTAAAAATATTCTACAATAAACTACAGACGTCAAGTATAGGAACATGTTGAGAAAATAAAATTTAATCTTATCATCGAAAATAAGTTAATTATTAGTTTCTATTATCTCATTATTCTAGTTTCTCGTTATTCACAAAGATGTTCGCAGATTTTCTATATAACTATTATTGAAAAGACGACATTTCAAGACTTTGAAGAAATCTGTGAATAAATTAAAAGAAAATTAGAAATTCAATATAATAATGAAAACGAAATAATCGATTTTAGCATTGATTTATTGAAAAATTTCTTTTGTGAAATATGTTCCTAACCATCTAATTAGATTACTGTATAATTTTTACTTTATTTTTCGTTGTCGTTATTTAATAATTTAAAAAAAATAATTCTGAAAACGTATCCACCCCCAAATCAGTAGTTTAGAACGTCGAATTTGCGCTCAAACTCAGGATTTACAGATCTTTAAAAAGTGAAATATGTCTCAAATGAATCCTAAAGAAGTTTTCGACAACACTGCATACTCAGTTCAATTATCTTACATAGCCGGTCACTCCCTTTAAATGTTTAATTGACTAGCCAGTGGCCAAGGTATAGCACAATGTCAGTAAGTTTAAAGAAATATTTGAGGGGGAAAAATACCAATCTAAATTTTATATTTCTATTAAATTTGTTCTTATCGAGATTTTGAATTTAAATGGAGAAGTTACCTCTCGGCGTTTTTAATATTGATTAAATGTTTGGTTCTGTCTCTTAGAGATATTTTTTTTTCATCGCCACCTGTAACAACAAGAAATAATAGAAACGGTTTTGTTTATTAATAAAAATATGAAAAAAGGAACATCTGAAAGATTTAATATCAATTTTGATCCTCCATTGAAAGAGTGGCATATTCCATAAATCCGTAAACCCCTTATATATATAGAAACCACAATTAAAAATAAGCAGATTTCGATTAGAAAAAAGATATCTCATACGCTCTTAAATCAGGCGAAGGATTAATGGGCATTGTTGTGAATCTGTCAAGTCAACTTTTTTCGATAATATTTTAATATTTTTGTTGTTTTCCTTGTTGAGGTTCCTCATCTGGTAGAGCAGGTTCATCTCCACCCTTCTCCTCTACTACTTCATCAAGTTCCCCATCCCAATCTCCTAACTTCTCCTGTTCATCAAGAACTCTGAAAAATTAAGGATTAAAAGTAAAAATGTTTTGATTTTCTTTTTGTTTGTTTGATCGTTCGGTGGAAAAAAAACTTTCGTGAAAAATTCGAAATTTTCGTGAAATGTTTTTTCATTTCGCTAGTAACCCTAGTCGTATGGCTTCACAAACGATGCGCTATAAAGTGTAAATATCGGAACGTTTTACTTAATAGATTATGCCAATTGTGTTCTGGAACATAGTGTAAATCCTAACAATAGATACCGAATGGTAGATTTTTATAATAAATTTCAAAATAACATTGGACTAATAGTGATAAGTTTAAATGTTATTGTAAAAGCGAATTTATGGAATATGAATTAAAGATAGAGAAGATTTAAATTTAAAGGGACTGTAAGTATAATTTAAAGTGACCCTCCATGCAAAGATAGTAATTCCCGATAGATAGTATTATCAAATTTGTCTGATCAAATATGAATTTTAATTTGTAATTCATGTCAATAATTAAAAAAAAAACAAATTATGTTCAGTTGCGGTTTCTCCACAAAAGAGACATGTGTATTTCTACTGCAGGAAAACACAAAGGAAATATCAGAATTAATCCCTTTAAAACCTTGGAAGGCGAAAATATTGATCATTATTGATGAGATAAAGGTTTCAAGGGTACCCTTCTGAATCGGGTAAGTAGCATCTTTGCGTTGAGGATCACTTTAATTACGTTTACAGTCTCTTTAAAGTCTACGACATTCAAAGCAATTAATTACAAAAAATTAACTTAATTCTACAAATAATTACCTTTCAATAATATTGTACAGTTTTGAAGAATATTCCGATTTTGAATTTGAATCCCCTGGATGTTTAGATAAAGAATGAACTGATGACTTCTCGATAAGTTCTAAACCATTAAGTATCCCAAGAACAGCAGCACCTGTACAATCAATCAGTTTAAACTAATTCTTTATTCAACTTTATTTTAGGTGACCCTCTACAGTGGTAACCATAAAACCCTGGAATAGAAAGACGACTTTAAGACTCAAGTTATGACTTTAAATAGAACATGAGATACAGTAATTGTGCAGTTTGATTAGACTCACCATAAAATACGCTTAATTATAGTCAGTATGTCGTCTTCCTATTCCACAGTTTCCTAGTGATCACTTTACTATAACGATATCTGCATAACATTAAATTATAGAAGTTTATTAACTTTGGGTTGAAATCCTTCATTGCCATTTCTGAAGTGTTGTGGATAACAAGTATGTTTTTGCAATTTTATGGGTTACGAGGTTGCAACGTTATTGCAATTATATGGGTTACGAGGTTGCAACGTTATTGCAATTATATGGGTTACGAGGTTGCAACGTTTTGCAATTATATGGGTTACAAGGTTTCAATGTTTTGCAATTATGGGTTACGAGGTTGCAACGTTTTGCAATTATATGGGTTACGAGGTTGCAACGTTTTGCAATTATATGGGTTACAAGGTTTCAATGTTTTGCAATTATATGGGTTACGAGGTTGCAACGTTTTGCAATTATATGGGTTACAAGGTTTCAATGTTTTGCAATTATATGGGTTACGAGGTTGCAACGTTTTTCAATTATATGGGTTACGAGGTTGCAACGTTATTGCAATCATATGGGTTCCGAGGTTGCAAAGTTTTGCAATCATATGGGTTACGAGGTTGGAAAGTTTTGCAGTTCTATGGGTTACGAGGTTGCAACGTTTTGCAATTATATGGGTTACGAGGTTGCAACGTTTTGCAATTATATGGGTTACGAGGTTGCAAAGTTTTGCAGCTATATGGGTTACGAGGTTGCAAAGTTTTGCAGCTATATGGGTTACGAGGTTGCAACGTTTTGCAATTCTATGGGTTACGAGGTTGCAACGTTTTGCAATTCTATGGGTTACGAGGTTGCAACGTTTTGCAATTCTATGGGTTACGAGGTTGAAAAGTTTTGCAATTATATGGGTTAAGAGGTTGAAAAGTTTTACCAATTTTAGCCGTCAATTTTTTTCAAGCATCGGTGATTGAGATATCTTCATTTTTCCCTTTATAATGAGCAAAGTTGAGCAATTATACTGAGATGCGTATAAAACTAAAGCTCTGTAATATTCAATTTCTGGTTAAAAATAAGCTATCTAAAATAAGACTTTCCGGTAATTTCAAGTTATCCTCAAATTTAGAAAAAAAATGGCATGCACAATTCACAACGGGTCCCTAGAAAAATCAATTTTTACAATAACGTGGAGGATATTGCCGTTCTAGCATGGAAAGTGTTTAATCTGCTATTCCTCTATTGTTTCTGCAGCATTTTTTTGCGAACCCACAGTTTTCTAGGAGAGAAAAATTAATATCTCATTCCTTCATTAATTCATATTTTCAAAGCTTTTGTCTGAATGAATGAATGTCGATGTGAATCAGACTTGTCGCGCTTAAATGAAAGAACGCTTAAAGTTTACAGAAACAATCCCTTTAAGTGTAGTTTTTTTTACCTGAGAAAGGAGGAGGAGGAGTAAAGACCTGGTAATCAGAAAACCAGGAGCTTAACGGAGTTCTTTCCTTTACACTGTACATACTTAGATCTTCCTGACGCACTTGATCCTAGATAGATAGATCGATCGATCGATCGATCGATCGATCGATCGATAGATAGATAGATAGATAGATAGTAGATAGATAGATAGATAGATAGATAGATAGATACAGGGTGTCCCAATAAACATGGGAATTCAGTGACGAATTCGATATCGTCTTTTTAAATAATTCTTTGATTTAGTTTAGTGATACCTACTGTGAAAGCTGTAATCTGTGAGAGTTTCGTCTGCTATGTTCACATTTTGTTTGTTTATGTTTTGCTGCATACGGTTGTATTTAGTAAAACAAGAAAATTGCATTATACAAACAGAGTAAATTTGTCTCCTTCTTCACTGATCATCTTGCGGAGACATTATAGACACTTCTTTACGGCCATTTAACGTTTTCATAAATTAAACTCTAGCAGACATAATAATATTATGGCTGTTGAAATTAGGTATTACAATGCTAATCATAACAAAGACGATATCGAATTCGTCACGGAATGCCCACGTTTTTTTTGGACACCCTGTAGATAAACTGAATATAAATACCTTAAGATCATGAGGTATCCTATGACTAAGAGTTCCCTGATATATACTAGTTGGATCGCTAATGATCTCCTCCAGTGTGGTTCTCATCATATCTCTATACGGACTCTTAAACCTAACATATTACTGTTCTAATTATCGTTGTGTCTTTAACTAATGGTTTATTTCTAAGTACTGATGTAGTAGTATCATAGTATGCAAACAACAGTGTTTGTTTACAACCGATAAACGTTAAAACGGCTGAACTGATCGGGTTCAAAATTTGTGTGGGACCTCACATAACCCCAGGGAAGGGGCACTAAGCACCTCATGAGAGAAAATACTACTCATGGCTTCCGTCACAATATTACAAATTCGCATTGTAAATTCTCCTAAATGTATTTACCTTGAATATCCTCCAGAGCTGATAAAATCCGCCAGTTGATCAGATTTTGTTTTGCCGTCAGCTGTCAGATTATTCCAATTGGGTGGCAATGGTATACCTTTATCTAAATATATTATTTTATATTTGAATGATAGACAAAAGGAATTGAGCCGTTGCCACAAATTCTAATTATCATGATACCTATAATTCTAAAACTAGATGGAACCTTAGATATTTCAAACTTTGATTATTTGATCAATCAGAGTTCATAGCTGAAATATCTAGGGTCTACAACATTGGGGTATAAAGATAAAGGGAATAAAAAATCAGAGTTTGTGGCAATTACTCGATTCCTTTAGCTTTACTTTTCTAAAAATATCAATAAGAAGACATATCTTTTTATTTTCAAGTGTATTTCAATATTACTTGTTAGCAAAATAAACAGTTTATGTTTATTAATATTAATACTGAAGTCAGAACATTTGCATTGTTAATCTCGGGATCAAGCTTTCATCTCAATATAATGCAGATTTTTCCAGAAGAATGTATTTCCTTTTCAATATACCATGGTGGTCACACCCTGCAGGGACAACTCTAATTGAGGGATCAAGCTATTGTACTCAAATTTAGAATTGACTGCACTGGAGATCAAGATGAAGCGTTTAAGATTCACGATACTCTATTCAAGAGCTCTGACCACTGTATACCTAGTAGTTTAACAGTCTGGGATAGAAGATCAAACCAGCTGCAGCATTCACTACGAACCTAGATTATAAAAAATATAAAATAAAAAAAGTATGTTAGACAACTGCAGATGGTTACCGGGATTTAGAAAATATATTCTAGTCTTTGTTAACCCTCTTTAGTTTTTGAGACTTGTTTCTGACATAAAGATTTAACATAAACATTTAAGTCTATATCAATCCGTATACAACTCAGTCTGTATTCGCAGGTATCTGTCTTGCAAGGTACAACTCAATCCCTTTTGTTATTTCACGAGGCATAAGAACTATTCCGTCAAATACTCAATCCCTCTCATTTATCCATGAGGCATAAGAACTATTCTGTTCAACAATACTTTAGTCAATATCAAACCGGATATGACACTATCAGTATTCTTTGGTACCTGTTTTACAAGATACACTAAAACCCTGTCGTTGATACACGAGGCATGTAATTACTCTAACACCGTAATCAAGCGGAGTATTATTCCAACTAACGTTTATTTTGAGTTCTATGTTACAGGTTATGTTAATGAACGTAATTACAAGTTTTGTGTCGTTATTTACAAGCGTAGTTAAGCTAATCCCAATATAGGCTTTGCGTAGTTATTTCCAAGTAAATTTAGATTTACAGAAATGTAAAACGTAATTTATCAAGGTGTGTTCAGGTTTATAAATATGGGATTTGCTATAGTATTTATTACATGGAGACTTGTCCGCTTCAAACTGAAAATCCGCGAATTTAATAAAGAAACTCTGCACAGTGTGCGGGATATTATTTTACTTATTTATCCCTAGGGACAGATTTGTAACACAACATCCAAGCTGGTCGATAATATCTGGGGTTAAATATTACCTCATGAGATCCATATTTATCCCTGGCATATTTCAGCCCTGCAACAAATCCAGGCGTGGCTATGGAGGCCCGCCCTATCCTTCCAATATCAGGGTTATCTATATACCTGGGAGTAAATTCAGTATTTAATTTTTTTTAATCGAATTTTTACAGTTTAAAAACACCAAGAAGGGGATTCAAAAAATGATGTTCAATATTTATCAATATTTTTTTTTCATGCATTATTTACTATCTCTTTTAAGAATGAGAAAAATAATAAAATTCTCTAGTGTGATAAAAAAAACTGGGAAAAAGGAAGATTAGCTAAAAATTGACTTATAAAATGAAACATGTCTGTGTACTCTGCACAACCATGGAAGCTGAGTATAACAATCGTCTTCTTATTCTACAGTTTTAAGGGTCTTACTGTATATCTTTTATCTTGCATGAATTATTACCTTTGAACTTGAAGTTTGGTTGGCGACAGTTCTCTGAAATCCACAACCGTAGTTTTGTTTTCTCTGAACAAAAGTTAGATCACAATTTAGAAAAAATCATGAATTGATGACTTTCGAAAATCAATTTTCTCCTGGTTTACTGGATTATTTTTGTATGTTCCAGAGAACATGGAACAATATGGGTGTATTTAATGCCCCTAACTCACCTAGTTTGATGTAGGGAAAGAATCACCTAGTTTGGTGTAGGAGAAGAACTCCTCCTCCCCCTAGACTAGCTAGATGTGGGAGTGCAACAGCAATACAGAATCCAGCAGCTACAGCCGCATCAACTGCATTCCCACCTACATCAATATACGTTTAATCTCAAAAGTTGCGATGTCTGAAGTAATAAACATAAAAAAATTAAATAGGAAGACGACATTAAAGTAATATTTAAGTGTACTTAATGTTGTAAAGCAAATAGTTTTACTTTTACACCTCATTCGAATTTTTAAAATAAAAACTTGATTCTAAATGTCGTCTTCCTATTTCTGGTTATCACTGTATGTAGTGTTGGGTTTAGAGTTTTTGATCTTTTTAAAGGTTCAACAAAAATCTTAGAAGTTTAACAAATTTTAAAATGTTTTTTGATTCGTTATTTCTTTAAATTTTCTCTAAAGGATAAAAATATCAAAAAGTTTAATAAAAACAAACTTTGAAATGTTGAAAGTTGTGTTAAAAGTTTAAAAAAACTATAAACCAAGTTTTGACCTTTACTTGATATATCTGTATGAATGTCACACGATTGTCGTGGCCAGAGAGAGTGAGCCTTAATTGTATGGTATTTCGTTTGCTCGCAAAAATTTTCTTTTTTTTTGCGAAATTTTGCGTTAATCTGTTTGACAAAAAACGAAATTTTCATAAAATAAGAAAAGTGAAAATTTCGCGAAAAAACAAATGCAAAAATTTCGCGATGAAAAAAAATGCGAAAATTTCGAGAAAAAAATTCTCTTCGACAAACATTTATTGGAAGTACAGAAAGAAAAATGAATAATTATGATCAGAGAATTCTACAAGTTATTTTAAAGCAATTAATTGTTGAAGCTAAAACACTCTGATTTTCGCTGAATGTTTTTTCGCGAAAAATGCGAAACTCTCGAAAAAAATTCCAAAATACGAAAGAACATTTTCGCATTTTTTGGTGAAAAATTTTCGTTCTCTGGAAACCCTTATTACTCCTCGTAGGTGGGAGGGGGGGG